ATGGGAGCTGTGCAGCCAGCAGCCCCTCCCATAGCCCGCACCCTCTCCTCCCCCCACAGAAATTCCTGTGTACCAGCCTGTAATGTCCTTACCCTCTTTTAAATAATTAACTTCTATATAGAAAGACTATGCAGATTAGTGTCCATCATACACTCCAGTAGCTTCACTAACTATTATTTAACTCTTCCCCCAAAATCTTGTACACAAGCCTACATATTGTTATACGGGTTGCTTGGAAGCTTTCCCTAATTCAGAGTATCTCTTGACTTCAGAGCTAGGCTAACTTGAAAGAACTATGTAGCAATTTGAGCATTTTTTGTGTTTGCTTATGAACTCCATTTTTCTTTTGAAAATGCCAGTTATATTAGAATCTCTGGTTTGAATGTAATCTTAGTGTATTTTTGAGCATTCTTTGTGTAGCACAAGCTTGAGGAGAGACTGAGGGAGAAGCTGTGACAGAGCAATTAAAGGGATAACTAGGAAACCAGGGCTCCCACAATCAGATGGACTGTAAGGATAATGTGTCTTAGTCCTCCTGAACCCCCAGATGCTGAGGCATTGTTCCAGAATCTAGGTAGTATCTCACTGCCAAGAAGGGTGTCTGGCGCACAGGATCTGCATCTGAAGAGTCTTCCTGAGACCGAAATATAGGAACAGTGAATAATTGCTACCAGGATTCAAAAAGCTTAACTGCACGTGACAAAGAGCATTTGGAGCCCATCACAAGAGACTGATATTTATCCAGAGAGTGGTTCTGGTCTAAGTTGTGATAAGTGTGGTGCAAAAATACATTTGGTATTGGCTGGCTGGCTGCTCCTGAATAACTTAGCATTTCCAGTTCAACTGACATACAAGTCCTAGGCTATGTCTAGACTACGTTCTATTTTCGAAAGAGGATATGCAAATTCGGTGGGAATTTGCATATTTTTCCGATCTCACTTTTGAAAGTGGATGTTTCGAAAGCGAAAGTAGTCTGGATGCATTTTGGGGGAGGGGGGAAGAACACTTTTTTGAAAAAAACAATCTTCCTTAAAAATGAGGTTCACACATTTTTTTTTTTGAAAGAGGGTTTTTCCCCCAAAAAAGCATCCAGACTACTTTCACTTTTGAAAGATCTGCTTTCGAAAGTGAGATATGGAAGACAATTCAAAGAAGATATGCAAATTCCTGTGGAATTTGCATATCCTTTCAAAAATAGAATGTAGTTATACATACCCCTAGGGTTTAGACTCCTGAGAGGTGCCATTTCCCCTCTGACCTGCCATGTTGCTTGCTATCTTTCTCTAGAATGCTTAAATTAAACTCCCAAGGTTGAGAACTAAGGAGATTTGTCAGGCAACATGTTCTTTGTAGCAGGTATGTCTCTGGAATTCTCTGTTGCCAGGTATACATCTGAGCCTAAGCCTGACCACATTCAGAAGGAATTGTGAAACTTGTCTATGGCTAGAGCACACCTGCCTGCAGCACACAGGGCCAGGGCCAGGGCCACCATGGGTAGGAGCTGTTCTAGCCGGATTGGAGCACTCCTGCTCACAGTGCGCTGCTCTGGCCAGGCTCTGTGTGGGCAAGGGCTGCTCCAGCCACACCCGCCTCTGTTTAAATGGTTAACTGTTTAAATCATTAAATGGGATTTACATCCCTAGTGTAGATCTTTATCCATCATGCATGGCTTAGTGAAAAATCTCGGCTCAATGTACAGCTGCTGTTTAAAACACATGAAATATGAAGATTTCAGTAGATTTCATAAATATTATAAATGACCTTATATAAATCAATGATTTGATTTCATCTGAAGTACTGTGACCAGTTCTGGTCTCCTCATCTCAAAAAACTGGAGCAATGATGCGTGGAAGGGATTTAAATCTGAAGAGAAATTGAGACGACTGGAAATGTTTTGAAGGAGGTGAATAAGAGAACATGATAGAGGTATAGAAAAGGTTAATAGGATGCTTTTCTCATAATTAGCACAGCAGAGGTATCCTGTCATATTTTATCAAAAGTCCCCAGCACAGTCACCGTAAATTGATGCTCCCTGTGATTTTTATACTACTTCCCCCTAAGCCAGGGGTGGACAAGATATCTCCTGGCCAAGCTACCGGATCCAGCCCATGGACCCCTCTGCTGGAACCCTCAGCTGCTGCTGATTTAAGCACAGGGCTGCTCCATGTGTCTCTGTGCTCTGGAGGGAGGGGAAAACTTTGTGCGATATCCCTGCCTCCAGCCCAAGCCTAAGCTCCTATTAGCCAGAAACAACTAGTCAATAGAATCTAAGCAATTGGTCTGGGGGTGGGGGAGCACAAGCCCCTCCCCCCCCCCCATCTGCTCCAGAGATGAATGGAGGGAGCAGCCTGTAGTTTTAAAAGATCCTGGGCTGCAGCAGTCAGGGAACCTTGCTTGCCTTTGGGGTGCTGTAGGGATGCTGGCGGGAGACACTTTGGTAAGTGACTCCCAGCCAGAGCATGCCTCTGGCACTCCTGCCCCTCCCGCACCCATGTTCCCTCCTCCGGGTCACACCTACCTCCCAGGTTGGGCCCTCCAACACCCCATCCCCAAGCCACAATCCTCTCTGGCACCCAGAGCCTACACCTCTGACCCAGGTCACAACCCCCTCCTTCACCCAAATTCTCTCTCAGACTTCACACCATCTCCTGCACCCCACTTCCTTATCTTGTGCACCCTTCTGCACTATCGTAGACCCTTCAACTCCTCCAAAGAAAAGTGTGATCCTTAACCACTTTCCAAAATCTTGGAATGGCCTTCAACCAAAAATTATTGCCCCACCCCTGCCCTAAGAACATGACTTTTAAAGTGTTAGTTGGTATGCAAGGATGAAAGAGGTCCATGCTCAAGGGGTTAGCAGAACAAGCCAGTCCCACACTCATTTCTGAGCAGTGACTCCTGCCCTTTTGGGTTGGGCCCATCTTCCCACTGTAGGCATTGGGACCTGATGCATGGGGTTTCAGTGCTACTCAGCTTTGGACTGTTTGCCCTTCTCTTAGGAGTGGGGAGGGAGAGAATTGATGGACACGTGTCTGGGAAAATTTTGAGTGACTGGTTTTGTGACCCTGTATTTCTGATTGGTCTTTGCTTGTGCATGGCTTTGCCAAATCTGCTTCTGATATTTACGTGCATAGTCTACATTTTATATGAAATACACATTTTACACTTCAAGTGTTGACTTTTAATATGTTTATATTAATGTTCCATTTCCGTATGCGTTGTTTGTACAGGAAATTGTTTTGTGCCTGCCTCTGAGATTATTGCTGTAGAAGAAACTGACAAGAAATGTACCAGTGGAAAATGGGAAAAAATGGCAAAGCCGCATGCTTTCACAGGTAGTGAAACAGCTCCTGGTTTTAGAATGCTACAGTAACTATTTAACTGTAATTATCTGTAGATATTTTAAAGAGGATTTGAATCTAGGAGATATACAAAGAGTTTTTATATACAAAGCTATTGTTAAAGATACTTTAAAATCTTTCTTTCATGTCTCATCTCCTCTTTGATTCCACAATGAAGTCATAACCCTTCTTAATAAGAAACAGATTGACAGAGCCAAGCGGGTATCCAGAAGTCACCTACTACAGGACAGACCCAAGAAAGAAAGCGACTGGGCATTACCTACAGCTTCCAGCACATCATCAAGGATAGGGGCGGGCAAAATACAGCCTGCAGGCTGGATATGGCCCACCCATGATATTTCGGGCCTCCAGTGTCCTGCAGCTTAGTGGGAATCTTGAGCAGGTTCCCTGTCTGCTGTTTCTTCCCCCCCCCCCTCCACTCTGCTTAGATCGCCTGGCTCCTGGCACCAGAATATACATCTCTGCAATGAGACATCTCATGAGGAGGGTTGTCTCTGTGCTCTGCACTTTCCCCCAGCACAATCCTCACAGCTCCCATTGGCCAGAAACTGAATGCTTAGTAATAGACCTGAAAGTTGCCATACACGAGCAAAAAATGTTCAAAACGAGACTGCAGCATGTAACTGCAAAGCTGGAGTTTATATACAAATTTTACTGTGCAAGATGAGGTCTGAATAGAGCCTGGGAATGTCTAGCTCATTATGAAAAGTAATTTTTCCCCCCTTTTTGATACTCACCTTATCAGCGGCTGTTGGGAGTGAGCTACATCCACCCTGTTTGAATTGGCCTTCTTAGCATTGGTCGTCCGCATAGTAGTGTAACATTCCAGTCTTTGCGTGCGTGTGTGTATATATCCCTGCCAAACTTAAGTTTCTATTTCATGCCTCTGATGAAGTGTGCTGCAGCCTGCGAAAGGTTATGCCCAAATAAATTCGTTAGTTTTAAGGTGCTTCAGGATGACTTGTTTTTTCTGAAACAACTTAATTGTGGGGTTAAGAGACATAGCCATGTTAAGCACCTTTCAGACTTGTAATAAATACAGAATGTATAGATGTTTTTCTTTGTTTTTTTTTTTATATCTATATATAGTGTATTATGTGAAAAGAGCACAAAAACACCGCTGGCGGTGCAGAGAAGTAACATTTTGGTGCATTGATGAGCAACTATGCAACCAGTGGATACAGGCACTTAAAGAATTACTTGAGTTACAGAGTAAGTTATTTATATTACTGAAATATATAACATTAGTGTCATTTCTAATAATGTGGCTATCTTAAGGCTATCTTAGACCCACTCAAGGAGGTCATTTGAGAGGCCTGGGGGAGGCATGCTGCATTTGAACTAGCAAATGTCTGATTCTCCTTTGCCACAAGGAGACTTAATAGTCATTAATACCTATGGAAAGTGGATGTCCAACCATAACAGATCAAAATAGTAGGGTTTTTATCGATTTGTCCAAGTGTAAATGACTGTGTAAAGCATTGGGGAATGTGGGGCTTTCAGACTTTCCATACTATTGTAACTTTGAATGGACGAGAGGAGATATCTTTTTGCTGAGTGGATAGAAGTTTCTTTCAAAATTCTCAGTTGTCCGAGATCTAAAGAAACATCTGTTGGAAGGTTGAAACGGCTGGAAGATGGTGCTGTCCCTTCAGTACTAGAGGTCTCATGAAAGGGTAACTGCCCATTGGTGATTCCTGACACTCACTTGTGCCATAGGGAATGTCTAGACTACAGGGTTTGTCGACAGTATCTGTCGACAAAACTTCTGTCGACATAGAGCGTCTAGACACATTCAGTTCTGTCGACAAAGCAAGCTGCTTTGTCGACAAAACCCTGTAGTCTAGACGCAACCCTACAGGCAAGAACACCTTCTGTCGACAGAACTCTGTCATGCCTCGTAAAATGAGGTTTACCAGTGTCGACAAAACTGCTGAGTTCTGTCGAAGTTATGTCGACAGAACTCAGCGGTAGTGTAGACGCAGGTATAGTTTTGTCGACACACCCTTAGTCTCCTTCAAGAGGGACAGAAGGGTTGGAGCAGTTTTCCTTGAAAGCTGAGCACTTGAGCAGCCACTCAGGAGAGATTCAAATGCTACCCAGATGACTAGTGGATCACCTATAGCCAGCAGCATGTGTTTCTATTGCGAGTGCACATCTTCACCCTCCGGACCTGACTGGTCCCAAAGGAGGGATTTTTCCAGACCAGGTGAGATCGTTTCAAATATCCAAATAAAATGTTACCTGACTGCCTAGCCCCAACCTAGTGCCTAACATTCTTTGATCCCCACCCCTACATCCCATGCCATTTGACCCATTCACTTTTGACACCATGCCAGCACCCTCTTGTACTCTCACCCCACTATGCCCTCACCCAATACCCCTTTGTTCCCACTCCACTCCCACATGCCTCGGAGTGAGGCTGCCCCCCTTCGGAGTGTGGTTGTTACTGCCATATGGGCAGGGGAAGTGGCCCTCCTCCTTTTCACCACCTCCCTCCTCAAGTATGTCTTAGGCCCCTATGGGTGGGGAGGGAAGCATGGAGCCACCAGATGCTGCCATTACCAAGGAGGGAGGGAGGCACCTCCTGCTCTGTTTCCTCAGCCACTGTGCTACTGGTGGCAAAAGCTTGGCCATTTTATTAATTACAATTATTAAGCTTGGCTGCTTAGTGCTTGGCCATTTTATTAATGTCTATTTCACGGGTGGCCAACCCACGCTCACGAGCCGCATGCGGCTCCTGATGGTACTGCTCAGGCTGGCTGCTCTATGCAAGGCTGCTCACAGCTGGGCCGCTCTGAGCCATATTCCAGCACATGTTCACACGTGAACACACGCTGGCTGGCCTGCTGCTCTGCTCACGGTTCCTCTCCCCACCACCTCCGCTCACAGTGTCCCAGCCAGTGTTTGTTCACACCAGCCCTCTGTGTTCAGTGTCCCAGCCAGCGGGTGCTCATGGACCACCGCTCTGCTCATAGCACTCCCACCCCATGCTCATGGCATGCCACCCAGCCTGCGCTCAAGGCTGGGGTGCACACATCCTTGCACCTGAAGGGAGATGCACGTGGCAGTAGCAGCAACGGCCCTGGCTCTGGGCCTTAGGTTAGAGCCGGGGAGGTGGGGCGGAGATTGGCTTGGAGTTGGGGGAGTGCCTGGCTCTGGGCAAGGGGAGGGGAGAGGGGATTGGGTTGAAGGGGGGGCATAGGAGTCAGCTCCAGCTGCTCAGGAAGCACTCAGCTGTCATGGGGAGTAAGGAGCAGAGCGTGCGCTTCCTGAGTAGTTGGAGCTGGCATGGTCCTGGGACTCCCACTTCTCCTCCCTCTCCTCACAGGCAGGTAGCAGGGGAAGGAAGTTGCTGGCATGCCACAGACCTAGCTGTTCAGGAAACGTGCCGGCTGTTTGGGAGCGGGGGAAGCAGCTCACATGCTTACTGAGACACCAAACCTGACAGTGCTGAAACATGTTGTGTTTGACATAATATTTTATTTCAAAATGAAACCTGGCCAACAAGCCCCTGCTTGAGACCAAACCCCCATCTGGCCTCAGCATTATAACACTCCTGCACCACTATCCCTAGACCCCAAACCTGAGCTCGTCATACACTGGAACCCCCTGTCCTGAGCCTCTCACATCCCCAGACTCCTGCACCACCACATCCCCAATCTTCTGCCACAACACTCCTGCACCATCCACACACTGCAAATCTGTGTCCTAAGGCCATCATATTCCCAGCCTTCCTGCCCTGAGCTCCTCACCTACCCCAACCCAAACTCCTGCAGCCTCACATCCACTCGGCCCCCCCCCCCCCCCCCTGACCCCAACACTCTCCACACTGGAGCCCCCTCCCTGAGCCAGCATCCCCTTCTCTCCTTTCTCCTGCACCCAAATTTCCTCCCAGAGCTTGCACCTCTCATCCCTTCTCATACCCAAATCCTTCATTCCCACTCCAGAGCCCCCACCTCCTGTTTCAACCCAGTCAGAGTGGCTCTTGTGCGAAATGTTGCATCCCCTTCTCTACTTTCTCCTGCACCCAAATTCCCTCCCAGCGCTTGCACCTCTCACCCCTTCCCACACCCAAATCCCTAATTCCCATCCCAAAGCCCGCACCTCCTGTTTCAATCTAGTGAGAGTGGCTCTTGTCCGAAATTTCCTGTACTGTTATTTTCATCGCTATATTTTGTGTACTATATATATCTGCATAACCTAAATGAATTGCATGCACCTCTTTTCCTGGGGTGGCTGGGACACGCAGCTTTTAAAGAGTGCCCCTGGCATGGCATTTTTTATTTTTATGTATGTATGTATGTATTTTGCTCAAAATCTTCCACCTCCCCAGAGTACCGGCATCTACATGGATAGATATATAAAAATAAATATATAATATGTGGCTCTTTGCACTCTATCCATTGCTATTTTGGCTCTTCGTCTCTAATGGGTTGGCCACCTCGGTCTATTTCGTTAAACTTGCCTTTTAAAAATAGGGGTAATAATCAATACCTCTATAGCACAGGTGGAGAACCTCAGGCCCAGGGCCTGGATGTGGCCCCTGATTTGCCTGGATATGGCCCCCAAGGATCAGCCCTCCCTCCCACCTTGGGGAGTCTATGCTGTCACTTGCCCTCCTTTCCCCGCTGTCCCTCCACAGGCTCGAGCGTACAAGATGTACTACACTGTTTCGCCCCCTTCCCCCTTGGTTCTGGTTCAAGGGGAATGTGGGAAGTGTCTTTCTCTTCTCAGTTAGGGGGGTTTTGTGCGGCCCTTGACTAATTTTTCTGTGAGTCAGTGGCCCCTGACCCAAAAAAGGTTCCCAACTCCTGCTCTTTGAAATAAATTAATCAGTTAAGATCCAGTGTAAGTAAAATATAGTGACCCTAAAGCCCTCTAGCAGTAAAAATCATTCTCATTTAAGATGTCCAGTTGAATAGCCCTCTTGTGATAGGTGGTTTTGGGGTCAAATTGAAGTCCTTTCAACAAGACTTCAGACAGAAATGGTAGATATTCTTAGATTATATTGAGTTCAGATCTGCAGAGCATGTTGCTATAGATCAGAATACGATTTTTTCAAAATATACTTGCCACTTCTCTATCACATGGAGGATTATTCAGTTGGCTATTACTAATTCTATTCTTGTAATACCTTCCACACAAGGTTATTTCTATATTAATCTCACCCACTGGATGCATACAGTTTCTCTGATTATTGTTTACCAAAAAGAAGGCCATCTTAGCCTGTATCTAGTTATTTGTAGCTCTGATGCAATCATTGTTTAATTGTAGTGGATGGCAACATGAATGCAGAACTGCCTGACAGTAATATGAACTTCTGCTGCTCTTTCCATGTAAGAAGGAGCTCATTTAATCCTCATACCAAGGAGATGTAATAAAATCTGTTGTCCAAATTGCCTGTATTCAGTAACAAAATATTTTGAGTATGTATTTAAATATAATTTAAATTTGTTTTTCAGTTCTATGAAAACTGTCTTGTTTTTATACTAACAATGTGGGGTGTTCGTTTACTTTCCTCCCCCAGAATCTAGACCAAAACAGCTGCTTGTATACATTAATCCATATGGAGGAAAACGGCAAGGGAAGAGGATCTATGAACAAAAAGTGGCTCCATTGTTTAGTCTAGCTTCTATCTCAACTGATGTTGTTAGTAAGTAAAGTTAATATTCCACTTCAATCTTGTATTAAATATAAATTTATTTAAAGCAACTCAAGAAAATGCCTTTTACAGCTCAGCTTTCTGCAATAAGTGTATGAAATGGAATACAGGTTGAACTTCTCTAGTGTGGCATTCTCTGGCCTGGCAACATTCGTTGTCAAGCACAATTTTAGTTAGCCAGATGTCCACTTACTATGGATGTGGCTAAGTCTCCTGCCATCCCATAAAGTTTTACAGCCACCAATCCTGGCCCTCAGTGTTCTGTGCTTCTGTTTATCTCTAATTCACCCATAAACATCTAAGAATCCAGTAAGCAGTGGATTTGTTAGTAATGTTGCTAGACAATATTGACCTCCCATGGTTCAGCAAATTCTCTGTTTCGGCACCGGTCAGGTCCTGAGAGGACTGGACTAGAAAGGTTCAACCTGTAGTAACTGCTTTTTAATGTAGCCCTGCAATTACAAATGAGTAGTATAGCAATACACCATTTATGTACATGAATTTTTCAGTTTCCTATATATATATTTTTAAAGTAAGCTAAGACGTAATTTTGCTTTCTGCTTGTATGGAATGTAGTTGACTGTTGGTTTCAGGGTGTTAGACAAGGTTACTGAGGGAATATCTTTTAATAGACCAACTTCTGTTGATGAGAGGTCCAATAAAAGATAGTCTTTCACCAACCTTGTCTCATGTTTTCTATTTGACAGCCACATTCATGTGGTATTTTGTTTTTGGAACTTACGAAACATTACATGATAAGTTTATGAAACTTAGCTTAATAGGAAGGCTTGAATAAATAAGTTTGTTTGTTTTTTGTTTTTCTCCATAGTAACTGAACATGCTAATCATGCTAAGGATAACTTATTTGAAGTTAATGTATACAAGTATGATGGGTAAGTGATTTAATTCACATTACCTTACATGTTTGTTTTTCCAGGAATGTGTAGTTTTAATTTCTGGAGAAGAGAATATTGTAACAAGATAGTTTATGGTAATTTGGAAACTTTGAAATCATTACAATAAACTGTAGTGTAGCAAAAGTAATTGCCTTAATATTGTTATCTTTTGTGACCAACCCTCCCTCAAAAAGTGTAGTACACAGCACTGAAGACACAACACCCTGTCAACAATGAGACAGCGTATACCTATGCTATTGGCGTGCGTCTCTTACCACATGATTCCAAACATGTACTACTACATAAGCCACCGAGAGAAGGGATAAAAGTTCAATTTATAAAAACAGAAAAAAATAGTAAATAGAGCTGTTCAATTCATACTTAGTGGATGCTTTTTGACACCCAAATGACTGCTTTATTGAATAATTTGTGACATATAAGGAGTAAATAATAGAAGTAAATAATAGACATGATATATATTATGAGAGAGACATGGAATTAAATACATAACATACAGTAATGCTATTTGCAACTCTCCAAGCCCTAGATTTAAATAAAGATAGACCTGGGGGAAAACTACAATGGAAAAAAGTCAGGGTTACTCTTAAGTTTAAATAGCTAAACAGTTACATGTGTGGGCATACACAACACCAACAGTCAGAGCACCATCTTAACCCTCTGTCTCTCTAACTTCAGAGGCAGTGGACCATGATAGAGACTGACCTTTGCTTTCCTTGCCTTGAGCACCATCCCTGTGTAATATGGGTGCATCACTAGAAGCCATGAAATCTCAATCAGGTGTAAAGCTGAGAAGGGACAGAAGCTGCAATTCCATTGCCAACTCTCACCATATGTGGTATTTTATTTAAAGCATCAAGGCTTTCCCTTTAAATAAAAGTGTGTTATTTTTGATCCTCATGGTTGTGGCACAAAGCTTGAAAATATGATCTGAGTTAACCTCAAAGGTCCCAAAACTGGACATTAAACAGAAAGCTGCCCAAAGCTATTATTTTAAAATCTCATAATTTTAAGCTACAGGCAGTCCCCGGGTTACATGGATCCGACTTACATCGGATCCCTACTTACAAACGGGTCCCCCCAGCAGACCAGGGAGACGCGGAGCAGTTTTTCTCAGCAGACACCTCAGCTTGAGAATAAAGGACTGAGGGAAGTGAGGTGTGGGAGAATAAAACTGAGCTCTGGAGAAATGTTTGGCTAGAGTTTCCCCTACAATATGTACTAGTTCCGACTTACATACAAATTCAACTTAAGAACAAACCTACAGTCCCTATCTTGTACCTAACCCGAGGACTGCCTGTATATCCCCAGAGAAAATAACTCCCAATATTTGTTCAAATACTTACTTTAAAACGAGTCAGGTGTCCTTTTATATACAGTCATCTTCTTATTCCTGAATATCTCCATTTTATCTCTCTAACATTAGATTTTAATTGGAACTCCTTTCATACGGCTAAGAGAAAAGTCCAAGCTATTTAAACAAAACAAGACTAAAAAAGAGGCAAAAATAGTTCAGTGTCTTACAGTAATTCAGTAAAAAATTTAGTTACAGTGAGGGTCTGATCTTTAGAAGAAAGTGTTACTAAGCTGATACTTTGTTTTTTTCTGCATACGTGATTGCCACAGATCCAGTTATAAAAAATCTTTTCAAATCAATTTGTCTGAGATCAATTCATGTGATGCTTCAGCTTAAAAGTTGGGAATGGTACCAAATAACCAGGCCTGGGATGCAGATTCATAAGCATAATTAAAACAAGGAATAGCTCTAGAGTAGTGCTTCTCAAAGTGGTCCGCAAAACCACTTTGAGAACCATGTTAACTGACCATGCCAGTTTGTTTACTTACCAGCATTGTGGCCATGCAGTTCTCACAGCTCCCATTGGCTCCAGTTCATCGTTTGCAGCTAAGGGGAGCCACGGATGGCAGCATGGACTGAGCTACCGCTTCCTGCTGCTCCCTTTAGTTTCGTGGAGCACTTTGAGAAGCACTACTCTAGAGATACAGAATCTCTTCACTGAAGCACAATTTTTTTGCATATTGACATTTTGATATTCACTTCCGGTTTTGAGTCAAAGCAATATACTCTGAATTTCTTGATCTCTATTACATTGGCCGTTATCCTCAGAAGGGATAGGCATCTGTTTCATCCTGGTAATATTGAATCTGTACTTGCTGTTAGTTGAGAGCAAAATGATAATATCCTTATCAATTGTACATTTAATTCCAAACTACTTCCTTGCCTTCACAGTACCATAAATCCAATCTAGAATTGGGGAAGAAATTTGTAAAGGATGTAAACATGTATAGTACATACTTAAGGAGGTGAGAAAATGAGGTATAATGTACAACTGAGCAATTGGCCCTCTTTTTTACTTTTAAAACCAGGTATTTGGCATGTAGAACAAATATTGAATATTTATATTATATTTATAGCTTAGTGATTCCAGTACTGGACCAAATAGAGGTTCTCTAAAAGAATAAATGTCACTTAGGTAGGATATCCACAGGGTTTCCCCTTAACTGCTTATTTTTCTACTCTATGCCAAGAGTTTGATTCGTTTGACAACTGAACTGCTTTGTTGTCAGAATTGAAATATTTAAATGAACAAGTAACATGAAAAAGTGAATCAGTATAATAGTCTACATGAGTTGAATGATGATGAGGACAAATTCTGTTCTGATCTGAACTGTGGAGTGCCTATTTCCTGCACTAGTCTGTTTCAGACAGAGAGTGTAGAATATGCAATAAAGTATTCCTCATGAGGAATGAATACTAAAGAGAAACAGGTCCTGCAAGTTAGTTACACGGTGAACAAACTAGAGAGTAATTGTACTAATCCACTTGTTTTAATATGTTACTTTCCAATGCTTGTATGTGTAGCTTGGGGACTTTTTACACAATTTTCTGAAGACTAGACTGGGCTCATTTTCATAATGCATCCCATTGGAAGTTTTTTTTAATTATAACTCTTCTTGGGCCCTATTAAGATTTTTTTTTTTTAAAGGGATTGAATTTTGTTAACACTTATGCACAGACCAGGTATTATTTACAATGAAGTAATACTTTGTTTCTGATGTTACTTTTGGCTACAGTTTTGGCTTCTGTCCATTCTGAGCTTCAACTACGGTTGCTTCTCCAGTTAAACTGGATTAAATTTGGAAAACAAACTCATTTATGAAGATAGTTAAAATGACTTGTCTGGTTGTAGAATTGTAATCTTGGTGTATCCAACTCTTTAATGCTTTTGCGTAACAAGGCAATTTAAGGTGTCAGGATTTAGCACAGGGGTGGCAAGAGCCTCTGCGGGCCAGATCTAGCCTGCCAAGTGGGTTGATCCAGTCTGTGGCCTGTTGAGACCTGGAGACAGTGGAGCACACACAGTATTCTCCCCCTGCCAGGGGTACACGGTGTTTAGAGTGATCTTCCAGCTATTATGAACAGCTAATGGTTCACTCTAGGTGCCACTCGCTCCTTGCAGGGTGGGAGTAGGGACGAGAGACTTCATGCACTCACTCCCACACCTCCAGGCCAATCAGGCTGAGGGAGGGGGAATGCACGAAGTCTTGAGGCACAGCATCTGTCTGTGGGGAGTTTGGACCCCCCATAGACAGGAACTGCATTGTAGGGCGGCAGGCACCCAGTCTGTGAGGAAAGCAAGTCTTTAAACTGTATCCTCTTGTGGACCAGCTCCCACCTGCCACCCTATGCTGCTTCCTCTGATACAGAGGCATCAGTGCAGGGTGGCTGAGGGCTTCCTGGCAGTGTGGTTGGAGCGCACTGACTGCTGGCCCCTCCCCCTGGGACTATCGAATAGTCATGTAATGGCTAAAATTTTATGCATTTACATGACTATTCAATTACACATTATCTAACATCCCTAATTAGGAAGCATAAGTTACTTTAGATAGATAGTATATATGCCTATGTACTTTTGAGACTTGAGACTCCAGTAGCATTCCATTTTATAAACATACTAGAAGACTTACTCAGCTTTGCTCAGGTCCTTCAAGGCAGGGTGCTGGGCGTAGAGGGGGGGAGAATCAGGGCTGGAGGTGGGGGGG